ACACAATGGATGGATGTATGGATTGTGATAAGAGTTGTACGAGCCTCCAATAAAATGATTTAAAAACATGAATAAAAAATATGAAAAAAACCTGTTAAGAACAAAGTTTAAGTCCTTCAATTTACATTGCTTATACAGATTGAGTGAATGAGTAACTTTAAGACAATTTTATTGGCATAATTCACAAATCATATAATTCAATAGTTCAATTATGTTGAGTTGTAACAATCATCAGTACAAGTTTTAGAACATTTATTTTCTTCCCTCTTATACTCATTGTTACTATCTTTCCATTCCCCCTCCAGCCTCCTCTTCCATACCCCACAGGAATCTCTATAGATTTATCTCCTGAATTCATACACAGAAAAAATACATCTATGTATATATAAATATATATGTATATATGTGTCAGCTCTCCCCCCCAACCCTGGTGAACCCTTAATAAATTATAATGTATTATTTTCATATTTTATACCACCTGTTGCCTCCCTTTACCACATTTCTGTTTTTCATCCCCCTTTTGGGGGTGGTGGTAATACATCAATCATTGCCATCAATTCCCCCTCAGATAAAAATATTTTAAGAAATCAACCAAAAAACTAACAACAAAGTAAACAGAGAACACCCAATAAAGTAAAACAGAGAAAATCTTCAATCAAAAAGAAAGCAGAAAATATTAAAACCTGGAACAAATGAAAAATGGGTCACAAGGAAGATCAAACGATAAGGTGTTAAATTTTAACCTAAGTGCATCTGCAATAAGCCACTTTCAATTTTTCTTTTAAAAGAGATACTTTAAAAAATGTCTTTGTGTTTAGCGTGAAGGTTTATACAATATATTAGATTCCCACTAAACAATTCCCACACAAATCATTTAGTGATATTGGCAACATTTTCCACAATGTGCTATGATTTGTATTCATTACATTCTCCTTGTACCATTTCCAGGACTCTAGCTTCCCTACTGCCTTTCCTTCTCATCTTTGTTTGGAGTAATTGTTGACCATTGGGCTTCCAGAGATGATTTTTCAAAATATTTAATGTCTTTATTTTATTGTATTGCTGTAAAGTGACTTCTGAGGCTGATTTAGTATTCAGGTGTATGGAAAATCTCAGGGTGACAGTCTTGGAGACTCTCACCTCAACTAATCCAGTACCTTTCTAAACATCTGAATTTGGTTCCATATTTCTCTCTCATTCCATCAGGATCCAGTAGAGGAGATTTTTCTATAACAGCTTTTATTTTATTTTTTTTAACATTTTATTAGGGGCTCATACAACTGTTATCCCAATCCATACACACATCAATTG